TATATAAATTTTATTTGCTCTTTCTTATAAAAAATTTTAATTTGCTCTAATGAAGACGAAATAGGCCTTTTTTGAAAATCAATTTCAGTGGTATCTATAAATGCAACCATGTGTTTGTTTTGTTTATCAATATGGTGCTATGAAGCATGGTGGATATTCGATTTGATTAGCTTGAAGATCACTAGGTTATACAACATAAAAAAAAATTTTAAAGTAATCTTTACTATGAAAAGCCACATCGTCAATTGGCAACTCATAGTTTTGCATAATAATTTTTTTTTTAGAACATATTATAGTGTTTTTTAACTCTTTATACGCCTTTTGAGAAAAAAGATTAGTATAGATCATTATCAATAAAAACTTTACTTAGGAGGCAATTTCAGGCAAGCAATATAGTAATACGGTATAACAAATAAGTTAATTGCATATTAAACTTTTTTTTTGCTTCTAAGCAACTAATGACATGATTATACTTTTTCTAGTTTATATCCAATCCAGAACATCCCACCCATTTTTATTTTATACTACTCTGAATTTTAATATATAATTTTGCTACCATTTTTAAGGCAGTATGGATTAATGGATATTACAGGGCTTGATTATCAATGAATGTATGAACAATTGCACAAATAGATGCTTTGTTTAAAATAATTTTTTATTATTAAAGTGTAATAAACTTTCTATTCTAATTAATGGTTTAGGTTAAAAATTTTGGATGATTCTGCAATTGTGATTTACGAAATAACCAAAAATCCAAAAGATGGTAACTACAGGATAGTTATGAAGTACGCAAAGCAAGAAAGTTTCGGAAAATTGTTAGATAGTAAATATGGTGAATTAAATTGGGCTTCTAAAGTAGCTAACTTATATTTCATAGCTAAAGGGCTTAATACAATTCACAAAGCTGATTTAGTATACAAAGATTTTCATTCCGGCAATGTAGTTATCAAAATATGTTTAGTTTTTTCATTACTGATTTTGGTTTAAGCCAGTGTTACAAGATTCAAATCCTAAAGAATTTTTTTGGTGTACTTCTCTATATTGCTTCAGAAGTACTATATACAACCGGAAAGGAATATACTTAAAAATCAGATATTTATTCTTTCGAAGTAATTATGTCTAAAGTTTTTACTAGATATCCTCTATATCACAATATTCCATATGATTTTGGCCTTGCATTAAAGATTTGTAAAGGTCTTAGACTTAAAATTAGATGTGAAATTCCTCAATTACTTTTGGATTTGATGAATAAATGCTTAGATGCCAAACCTCAAAATAGACCAACTGCTAAAGTATTAGCTAATATGCTGAATGGTTTTTTTAATGATCTGAGAAATGGAAGAACTGAATTATATAAACAAGTTAAATTTGCATGATTCAAATATACAAGTTGATCTTTGAATCTTTTAAAACTCCCTAAACTAGGTAATAGCATTTATTTCTATTTTTAAAAATTAGTAATGTTATTAATTGTAAAAATATCTGAATCGGTCAATATAGTAAATGCATGTATTTTAGTAAGTCAACTATTGATTGTGAAATCCCTAATGGTAAGTAATATATAATAGTTATTTTCTGAGTAGTTGGGTATAAGTAGAGCTGAAAGTTCCGCTTATCACATAGTGCTCAGGATATAACTGATTTATGCTCTGTGATCTTGATATAGTAACCAGGGTATAAATTTGATTTATTTATAAGAATTAGGTATATTAAAATTTTTTATATCCGCATTCTCGTGTAATATAAAATCAGAGTATATAAACAAAAATTAATTTATTTTTTTTCTAACATTAGCTTACTTTAGAGTCGCCATGTTGTAGGTGTCGTCATTGCTAGAGTCATCAAATTTGGTATTATTCATGCTGTTGTGTTACTGGAGCCTTAGTGTAAAATTGTATGAATATAGATTCATTATTCAGCATCATCACTTTACTGGAAGTTTCGTTGATGTAATTTCATTGTTTAGGCTTTATTGCTTCTAATATTTCTGTGAATGTAAACTTTGTTGCTTGTTGTAGTCCCATGTCGAGTCTTCAACAATGCAATTTTGTCATCTAAAGTATTGTTGTTTTTGCACTTTCAGGTTAGTGTGGATTTTGTTTTTTGCACTGTTGAGTAATTTGTCGTTTTTAGTAAATGCACTTTACAAGAACTTTATGCTTTTCAGATCATTTAATGATTAGAAGAAAGTGTTCTTGTCAAAAATTATCCACAGATCAAGACCTAGATGTTTAGGGCCAGATTGTTTTATTGAATTAGCTATGAAATGTATGGATAAAAATTATGATAAACGGCCTACTGCAACAGAAATTATTGAAACAATTACTCATTGGTTAGATAAAAAAGTGCATTAACTAATGTATTTCACAAGAACATCATGCTGATTTTTTGTACCTTACTAATAACAAGCTTGAATCAAAAAAAAAAAAAACATTAGGAGATGCACTTTGCAAGAATATCGTATAGGTCTTGGTTTGATGAACTTAAAATGAATAAGCGAATGAAGAGTAAAGAAGTATTTATGCTTTTGGTTTGATGAACTTGTTTTGCTAATTCAATTTCATTGATTAATGATTTTTATCCTTATGGGCTGACTGAAATGATTTGAGGAGTACTATAAGTACTTATGTTCTCGTTTTGTAAACTTGTACTGACTTTAATTTTACTGACTACTAATCTTTAATTTGCAAGCTAAATAAAATAAATAACACAAATGAAGTAACTAGAGTTGCAGTAGTATCATTCCAATGATAGTCATCATACTGCCGTAATTTGCTATAACTACATCAGCAAAATATATAACTGTAATCTTACGTAAGATATTACGGCTTGTAATATTGCGCAAGAATTACACTCTGGACAAAATATTGTGCAATTTATTATGGAATATTATACAATTTATTGCGAAATATTACACAATTTATTGCGGAATATTACGCAATTTATTGTGAAATATTACGCAATTTATATCACGGAATATTACACAATTTATAATTTCAAACGGGTGTTTATTTTTGGTGCAAAGTGCACATGTGCGGGTTGTATAAAAACCAATCAACTGATCAAGTTTAAAGCACACAAATATACTAAGTATATATATTTATTAATTTTTAGGTTTATTTAAAACAAATTATACATATACAACAAAAAAAAACTAGCTCTATTAAAATAATCTGAATTTAGAAATTAGTTTGTAATAACAACCCTCATATTTCATTTAACTAGTTGCTAAAATAATTACTACTTTTATAAATAAATTTAATCCATCTGAAGTAATCGTTGTTGCTCAATTTCCCAAAATCTATACTCATTTATCCAACACTATAATGCCAACATGCTATTTCTTTAACAGCATATTTTTTTGATAAGATATAGTTTTTCAACAATACTTTCATAGACAAGACATTTTTTCGACTTTCTTTGACAAAAAATTGACCTGATTTAGCATTAGGGTTGGTCTGATTTAGAATTAGCATTGGTTAGAAATATATCAGAAATGATTGTCGGGAAATATCTTGTCTAAGAAATGAATTGTCAAAAAAATATAATGTCAAACATATATGTCTTACCAGAAAAATATGCTATAGATAAAATAGCACGTCAGCATTATGGTGTTGGGTAAATAAGTTAAGCAAATAACTTTTGGAGAATTGTACTATAATTGATGAAATCTGCATAATTGTGGCTTCAAGCTAATGCGATATCGATATCCTTATTTCACTTCTTTATCCTAATATTGTTTTCAAAAGTATTTGTTTTTGTCATGTATATCAAGTATCTAAAGCTTACTTACCTAAACCAACGAAAGACCCTGACAATACACCACAGTGAAACGGCGAATGAACTCTCTGTGAAGCAACAAAAGTCTTGCCATAACAAAAGTCAAAAGACCCAACGTAGACCAACCATGGAACAATAATACAACTATGAAAAACTCACAATGAAGCAACAAAAAAGATCCACAGCGGAGCGACAAAACAACCACAAAAAACCCACAAAGAATTCACTGTAATGAAAGACTTACCATAAACCCCACTGTTAAATGACAAAACACCACAGTAAAACGGCGAAGAAACTCTTCATGAAGCAACAAAAAAAGTCTCACCATGACAAAAGACCCAACATAGGCCAACGAAAGACTCATCGTGAAACGATGAATAAAGCAACAAAACAACCACAAAAAACTCACTATGAAGTGACAAAAAATTTACTGTAATGAAAGAATTACTATAAACCGATAAAAGACCCACTATTAAACGACAAAACACCACAGTGAGACGAAGGACTTACTCTGGAACAATGATACAACTATGAAAAACTCTCAATGAAGCAATGAAAAAGACTCACAGTGAAACAACAAAACCACAAAAAACTCACCATGAAGTGACAAAAAATTCAAGACTTACTATAATCTGACGAAAGACCCAACCTCAAAGGATGGCAACACTAATGAGACAACACTAGCGATGACACCAAATACGACGATACTAATGACGGCTCCAAAGACAGCTACAAAATTTTGAAATTAAAAATAAGCAACTTTTTTTATTGTGCACAGATCTAAAATTTGATTGGCCCTTAGTATTTACGGTTACAAAATAATACTCTAATTTGAATTTTTAAATACTGAAATTCATAGGCAGACATTCGTATGATTGGATGTTTA